TATATATATATATATATATATATATATATATATATATATATATATATATATATATATATATATATATATATATATATATATATATATCAACAAACAATTCTAGAAGGCCTCGACCAGTCATGATGACCAAATTTCTTGTTTTGTGTTTCCAGATTTCACTTCGCTCATTCTGTGGCTGTGTCATGAATCCTCATGATGACCGCAAAAAAGTTTCGCTCCGTGACCATATGCGCCGTCTGCCACCATGCATAACGGACGACCTCGACCTGTCAAATCTAGAAGGCAATGAAGGCAAATATGACCTCGACGATATAGATAAACATCTTGAGATGGTGACAAACGACCTGAACACCGCACGTGCTGTGCTGTCGACATCGTATTCACGGGTGCAAACAATTGTTTCGTCCTTGCGGAAAAAAAAAATGGAATTGAAAAATCGGGAGGCTCTTTGCACAATTCGTGAGCAACGTCTACTGCGCGAGGAGGGCAAGCCTCGTGTCGACTTCCCTACACCTTCGACTCCGTTCCTTGTTTCAGAGCGCGACGTTCGTGACGACACTGAAGTCGAACTCGGTTTCTCTTTGCCACAAGCTGCGGTTTCGGTTCGTGTAAGTTATTACTATCCGTATTGCCATCCCGCTTACGTTTAGTTCTATCATTTGTCCGCGATACTCTGTATACAATGAAGAATATTTTTTCCGATATTTCTTTTCCATGTTTCGTTGACCAACACTAACTTTCACCGCATCTGTTGCAGATACTCACAACAAGACACTATAATGGAGCAGGCACAACCTCAAGCACCCAACAACGAAGATGATGGGGACATGGTGTACGGTCGTTGACCAAGACGTAGAGTTGTGCGGGGTCGAGGGGGCCCCGGGCTTGGGCCAACAGTCGTCGCGGCACGTCGCCCACGACCTCCTCCCCCGCATATGAACGGGGATGAAATACGGGCAGCATGGCCGCATCCTGCGTTTTTGGTTGAAACCGCGGTATAGATTGTCGCTGAGGAGGACCGCAATGACCAATTTCTCCATATCCTCGTGGGAAACGATCGACTGGACGCGGCGGCTAATAGATTCGCAGGGTACAGGGGGTTCGCGAACCTCTGCGGTTACACTCGTCGTCAGAGACTGCCGGCGAAATTCGAGGAGGCGATGCGCATGAGGTGGCCCAATCTGCAAAACGATGGTTACGTCGGCTTCATTCCTGATCCGCTCGCTCCAGCCGATAACGATAGCCTTCACCATGGGTAGATGGTAGAGAGAGTTTGGAGAGAGAGAGAGAGAGAGA